CAGACGAGCCCCCATTTGTCACATTCCCTGGTTTGCTCCTCCCCAAGAAATATAACCCTCAGTAGTCTGGTACACCGTCACACAAAATAAATTGTCGAGTAAATTGACAATTTATTTTGTGTGACAATTTATTTTGTGTGACGGGTGTACCAGACTTCTGAGGGTCATATTTCTTGGGGAAGGGCAAACCAGGGAATGTGACACTGACAGTTGGTTGCAATCTGTTCTGGGCCTGCACATTACTGATGACACAGGAAGTATTGACAGTTCCCTACTTTAAAGTAAAATACGTTTCTATTCTTGATAATATGCTGTGAATGTTTCTCGTTACCAGTAAGGTGTTTCATGGTAATATGCGCCAATCACAAGATGGAATTTTTGCAGATGAAAATCAAATTAAGTTTCGCCCTTCTCCGACGTATATACACTGTTTACTCAGTGTGTTAAGGGCCTGTCACATTATATGCGATCTCATAGGAGACGGCGACCAAAAATATTTCATAAATTTAACAATCGCAGCGAGGACGCAAGAAAATGACAACTTTCTGTATCAAAGAAGCTCAAGCTACGCTCATACTGTGCTCTTCCCACGCTTACGATGCGCTCAACTCGCTTTCTATTCGCCCCCGTCAAGCTCAATTACTCGATCTAGTCGCTGCCGCTGCGCTGTCACTGCGCTCACACTACACTCTGTTTGCTGTTGATATGTCCTTGTAGCTCACGTCGCGCTCTCTATTAAAATACGCTCATGTGATGTCACTTGCGCAGTATAAATACCACGACAAAACGGTCAATACACAGTTCAGTTTCAAAATTATTCTACAAGTTCATCGCAGTCAAGTTACTTTCTCATGGAGACTACATCGACTGTCTTGTGCCTAGGCTGCCTCAATGCCACTTCAATGTCGCACGATTCACGCTCGCACAGCGCCCGAGTTGCGCCCTGGCCAGAGCGCAGAGGTGTTGCTATTGTTTTGAGCATGTTCAAAGACCTTGGCGCTCATCGGAGACCATTAAGACCCTCCGGCGCCCATCTGGCGACCTATGTTGTTGTCGCTGCGATCTAGTAGTTGTTTTTGCGCCCCAGCTATTTTTCAAGGATGCAGTAAGAGCGCACATAAGATCGCAGACAGTGTGACAGGGGCTTTACCTCCCGAGAGAAAGTTGCCTCATACATGAATATCAATGCGTTGTGTACCGCGTGTGCAAGCACCGAGAAAAAGGAACATTGTTCTTGACAGCTGTCCAGTGACTGCTGACTCGCTGTGTGTTGTGCATGCCCTTGGCTTGGTGGCTTGCTGCTGCTTGGCCTGGCAGCATGGTGCTCTTGCTCATTTTCTGCATGTGGAATCACATGAAGCCCAATCTGCTTCCCTGGCTGCAATGGTCGGCTGGGATTCCGTCTTGGGAAGCAAGGACAGCACATGTCTTACCACTCGACCACCGAGCTAACGGGATTGGGTGGCCGGTTCGAATCTGATGTACATAGCAGCGGGTACCGCATAAACTATTATAAGATGGAATTTTGCGTCGGGGTGATATAAATCAAATTAGGTTTTGCCCTGCACCGACGTTTTTTAAACACTGTATACTCAGTGTATTACCTCCCAAGTGAAAGTTGGAAAAAATCACTTGGGTGGGACTCGAACCCACGACCTCCTGCTTTCTAGTGCAGATGTCTTACCACTGGACCACCAAGCTAACGGGATCGGGTGGCCAGTTTGAACGGAAAATTCCATCTTATAATAGTTTAGTGGTACCCGCTGCTACATGTATGTACATCAGATTCGAACCGGCCACCCGATCCCGTTAGCTTGGTGGTCGAGTGGTAAGATATTTATCGAAAAAATGATGTCTTTAAAGACAGTCTCTGGCAAGAATATCAGGAACACACCAACAATAATTGTTGGCACCCAGAGTCCTGCTGATATCTTTGCTGCTCGAGATTTAGAGGCTTTTTCCTTGAATGTCAGAGGATTGCGCACTGCAGAGAATCTCTCAGCTGCTATGATCACTACAAAATAACTAGAAACAGCAACAAATATGTATTTGAATCCCAGGACATACCGTTATTTTGTTTTACCGTTTTGGATTTCCTCAAAAACAACAACCGTGAACGAACAATTGACCGTTTTGTCATTTTACAGTTTTGTAAAACGGTATTAAGTCGACACACAAAAAATACTTTTTGTTGTTGTTTTTAATTGTAGAAAGCATTAAACGGTTAGTTGCTTTATTTTTAGAGTGTTGTTTTACAAAATCATGACAATGACAAAACGGTCAATAGTCTTGCCGACCATTTATTTGGATTTAGGTTCGGCAATTAAGCAATGCACCTAGGAATGTTAATGCGTCCTTGGGATCGAGTCATTGCCTGGGCCTTCTTACATTTTCGTTCTCACAACAGAATTTGCGAATTAGCTATTGAAGAGCCGCGTCGACTTAAACTCCAATTTCCTTCAAAATATCTGCAACTTCATCAAACGTCTTACCATCCTGTATCCATTGTGAAAAGTAATGCCCTCCCTTGCAGTTTTCCAGCGCCATTTTTGCTTGCAACTCTTTAAGCCCCACCAACTGAATCACATGAGAAGGGGTCAGGGTCCGCGCCAGGAATCACACCACGCATTAATTATGCCGAGCCAACACTCGTGTAAAGCAGGGTCCCCCTCCACCCCCTTGCCCACCGCCACAAAATGCACCACGGACTGTTAACTATGACACTAAAATAAAAAAACAGTGTGTATTCAATACTGACCGTTTTGCTGTTTTTCAAAGTTATTTGTGTAAAACTGTAAAACAAAAATAATGGATCGTTGTGCTATAATGAATTTTCCTAAACTTATAAAACGGATAAACCGTATTTATCTTAATACTGTTTGTCGTTTTATAAAACTGTAAAACGACAAAACGGTCAATGGTTCGTTTACTGTTTTTGTTTTTGAGGAAATCCAAAACGGTAAAACGAAATAACGGTATGTCCCGGGTTTTATTTGACACTCTGGAATGCTTTGTACACTTCAGATGCACACAATACAAATATACATTGAGTCATAAGGAAGAGCAAGTCAGCCACGGCCAGATTGGATAAGTAGATGTTGATGATTGTACGCATTGACTTCACTCGAATGACTGTGAAGAGAAAGACAAAGTTTAAGAGGAGGCCGATTGGTGCATTGATTTCAGTAATTAACCATGGTATTTGTTAATTTCTTTTATGAGTCTTGATAAAGTTCTCAAGGTGCTTTTCAACTTCATCGTTCTCCATATCCAACATTTGATTCAGATGTAGCAAAGAGTGTTCTGTCCTATTTCAAGATCACTCCAGTTTTATACTAACAGCGAATATAAGACCTGGAGCAATGTGTAATTGAAATAAAAAGCTTCTGCATTTTTTCCCCTTAGTGTTTCTTTATCTCTAAGATTTGTAAGGATAAGTTCTTTGTTCCTTGTTTTGAATGCATACTAAACCAAAGTTGACATTAGAGTTTCACAGTTGACTTTGGCATACTTGTTTATATGTTCATTGTGTAATCCGTCACTAAGGTTTTGCTCAAATCTAGGTTATGCCCAAAAAAAAGAGTTTTTTTTTCAATGAAAGATGATGTCTCAAAACTGCCAAACTCAACGGTTTGACTGGAATCCTGCTGCTGCACAATTTTCACATGTTTTTAGATGGGGTTATGGTCGAGAAAAAGCTTTATGTGGCCTCTCTGGACTCCCATACATTTGCACTAAGTTTAGTCGGGCACCATTTGCAGTCATCAGCCGACATTTGAAGCAACAAACCAGGTAAAAAAAAAAAAAAATAGCCGCGTCGCCACACCACTTTTTGGGCAAGCTCCATACCAGAAACCGGAGACTTTTTTTTTTGGCCTTTCTTTAAAAAAGGTGAAATGGCACTGTGCACTTTTTACATGTAGAGTTTTGCAGCTCATAAAAGATCACAGACATAACGTAACGCTTGAATTATCGGTAACTGAATAAAATTAGATGCAGATCAAAAAATGACACAAAATCTTTCAGGTCGTTCACTACATTTTGCTTACAACATATTTATTTATATCTCACATATAGAAACTTGACACAAGCTTTAGATTTGGTGTTTGGATAATCAAGAAAGACATTTAAAATACAGATACAACTGCATCAACAAAGATTTGAAACCATGGAATTCCTACACTGTCTTGCTTGAAATTGAAAGTGTACTTAGATTTCTGCTATCAAATGTTATACTAAGAAATTACCCATGATTGGCTCCCGTCCGTACATTATTGATACTGATTGTGGTGGGGGGGGGGGGACCAGCCCATCCAGCAAGAACAGAAATTATGTTTGGCAGCCAATAATTTAGAATTGTAAAGTAATAATTCAATAACTGAACGTGAGCCTTTTTGTGTTTAATGTTTCATTCAAAAGTGAGTAACTTTTGTATTGCTTGAAAAATAGCAGATTGGTAAAGAAATCTATTTTTCGGGATGAATCTCGAAAATTCAGTACCTCATCTGGCATTTGTTGAGCAAAACTGTTATGTGGTCAGTTTTCCTTGTTTTTTTCCCTAGAAGGTACAGCATTAAAGGTTGCATGTCTGTGTAGAGTGTGTGTGCGATTCACAGTTTCAGATGATTCTTATTTTATCTGATAAACTGTCTAAGTTGAACACATTACCCTCATTGTTTCAAGCTTAATCTTTAATTTGCTCATGCACTACCAGAACTATGTACTGTAGTTAGGAGAATGGTTGTATGTAGAAAGATGACAAGTTCCACACCCAATCCATTACCCTTTGGAGATACGGTGGACACAATACGAGGGCTCTATTTGGTTTGGGTCTAAGTCTATTGCATAAGTTACCCCAATATACCCAAATCAAATAACACCCTTGTATTGTGTCTGCCATATCGCAAAAGGCTTAGAGCAGTTGAGCTATTCACTTTTTCCAAAATTGTTAAGACTCTGAAATACTGAATGTGCTTTTCACATCTTTTCCCAATCTACAGGTTAAACAACATGGTGACTCCACTGTGGAACCAGCTGTATGAGGACCAGCTATCCACCAAATAGACCAACACCAGGGAGTTTCTGAGGAATTTATCCAAGATGCTGCAACGGAACATTGGGGAGATGTCTCCGTGGCTGAAGCAACAAAGGTGAGCTACCCGCCAAAGACACGGGGTGGTTGTGGGCCAGAATGGAAATGTGATCTTCCTTGACAAGTAACTGTTTCCAGACACAGTTTTCTGGCAAGTGGACTTACATGTACATGATGTACAGCTGCCCTGAAATTTCATTAAAAGTTCAGAAAATGATGCCTCATTTTTCTTGAGAATCAATTAAAACTCAGCAAACTTTGGGCCAACTTCTGACATAAACTTCCTTTGCACACACGAAAGTCCCAAAGATTAAAAGGGGGGGGGGGGAGTTGGTAAAAAAAATGTTTACAAACAAAAAGCAGAAAAATGAACACAAAACCAAAACTTCACAATTCATAAGCTGCTCGAGTGAGACTCCCACCAACAATCTCCTGCTTCCTAGTGCAGATGTCTCAACTACTTGACCATCAGGCTTGCTGGGGTTGGCTGGCTGGTCCCAATCTGATATAGCAGGTGCCACAATCAATGAGTTTAATTAATTGTTTACGTAGGGGAGTTCTGAATGTGAATACCTGGTTTTGCCCTTCACCAATGTAAATTTGAATGCACTGAATATTCAGTGCTCTCTGAGAGTGCTTGGGTGGGACATGAACCCATGACCTCCTGCTTACTAGTGCAGACATCTTAACCACTCAATAACAGAGCTTGCAAAGGTTAGTGGGCCAGTTTGAATCTTGTGCATATATAGCTGTGGTTACCACAAGAAATTCACAAGCCTGTTGGAGTGGGATTCGAACCCACACCCTCATGTTTAATAGTGCACTCTTCATTTGATTGACAGGAAGAACCACAGTAGGATGGCATGTGAGTTGGAGCCAATTAAGCCATCGGTGAGTAAGCTAGGTGACAAATATTTGTTGATAAAAATATAGATTTTATTTAAATTTATTTGTAGTATTGTGAATGATTTTATGAATTATAATCTCAATAATAGTTCACATTGGCACATAGTGTTAGGTTAGCTTGACTGGTGTGATCTTTGAACTCGGGTAGATAGATAGATAGAGTCACCGTACTTGTACTAAATTTATATTTCAACCTGGATTTCTTGTTAGATAAACTATACAGCATGTGAATCTTTTGTGGGGTAAATATTCCTGACATTGGAGATGTCTGATTTGTTCCTTTCATTTTCATTGTTTGTTTGCATACTCACAGCCAGTATGAGAGAGTTATCGCAACAAGTGTAAGTTTACCATCGGCAAGAGTGTAGATGGCATCGGTGAGTGAAACTGGCATTTTTTTTTATTTATGCAATCTCTTCATTTTTTGCGTGTATGTGCTCCATTCACAAGTACCCCCTCGCCTGGATATAAAGTGTGCACACATGTACAATAATGCACCTGTTATGAAAGCTGAACAGAAAGTTCCAGGATTTTTTCTCAGTTATTCCCCTAATTTTTTTGTCAGGTCTGCATGAAACTTGGCCCTGGATAAATTGTGCAATAGTTTCAGTATCATGTCTTCTTATTTTCATTGACAGATAACACTGTTGGTTTCTGGCTTGGCGCTTACCAAGGTAAGTATTTCCTCTGAAGTTCCATTTTGGTAAAAGACGTAGATCAGCTTTCATGTTTGATTGGATTGGCTGTCAAGGGGCGTGGCCTATTAGTAGCTAATGCTGATCAATTCCAACCAATCAGAATGCAGCACACAGAAAGATTGACAGGTGTACATATTGTGCATTGTCTATTATGTCTGTCAGGAATTAAAGGGAAAATACAACATTTGCAAACTTCAAAAAATAAAACTACCAAATCATTTTGAAATACCTTGCTGGACTGTTAGTGAATGACAGTGTAAAGCATCCTGTAAAATCATGGCACCTACTATACTGTCATTTTCAAGAAAAGTGGTATTTTTGTATCAATTTCCAACGCTGATCGGCCGATCAGCGTTGGAAAAGAATGGCTTTTTTTCAAATACTGGCCCCAGTTGACCATCACACTTGTTTGCAATCGATTACAAACCTATGAACGGGTACAAGCCAGCTAGACTGGTTCCCTGACCTTACAATTCCCCAATATATGTAAACTGCTCTGTTTCTTCTTAAATGGAGTCAGGGAAGCAGACTACAGGAAAATGATTGTTTTTCTTGGTTTTTATAGCATTTTCGAACAAATGATGTATATTCCCTTTAATTATTGAAAAGAAAGAAACAAGCCACAAAAGACTTAAACCCTTGTCATCCCCTTTGCTGACCAATATGTTGGCTTACTTTTGTGGCATGAATATTGAGGGTATATGTTTGTACTTTCAACATTGACTAGCAAGCTCTTTAACTCAGTAGGGATTTTTCAACAATTAAATTTGTACAAGCAAGAATTAGGTTTTAAATACAAAATTCAGGAAAATCACTGTTTGTTTAAATGTTGCTACATGTAGTGTACAATTTTATTATTTTATCACTGCTCTTGCTTTTACACGCAAATTTTTTTGTCCTCTAAAAAGTGTGTGACTTTTAGAATCATGGTTTGCCCTGCAATTTTTTTTTCCAAATATTACTAGGTATCAAAAAGACGTAAGAGCTCAAACACCGATTTGTGTTTAGAGTTTTAAATTACACAAGGAAATCACAGCTTTAATGAACATATAAAAAACAGCAATTCCTCGGATACTGTGCAAATTAAGATACATCTTGTATGATGCTAACTTTACAACGACATTCACTTTTTACAGCATTGATTTTTCAATACCCAAATTCGAAGTACCTTTGAGTCCATCTCAAAGAAATATTAGAATATTGCTTTGCATTTAAACATCATACAGACATGGAGCTCATAATGTAATACAACAGACTAGTGGTGCTACACAGATTATGTACAATTATAGAGCATGCAAGTCTCGCCAGTTCACATTCACTTTTCATGTGAACATCTTGGTACCAAACACTGACTAGTCTAGCCACAGACTCCCGTGTTTGAATTCACCCAATTCACCCAAAGAATGGAAGTGGAGGTCAACATTTTTTCAATTTACTAAAGTAATCAACTTGCAATATTTTTTTAATGTGTTGTAAATTGGAAAGATTTTTTTCTTGTTCAGAACCCATTCTTTGCCCTTGACTGGATAAACCTAGTAAAATCACTGAGGTTTTTGAGGTCAACTTGCACGCTCTATTGACAGAAGTGGAGTACAAATTGCTGACTTCAACTATCAACTACATTTTTTCCCAGATAGTAGGTGTGAAGACACCTTTAATACACCAGACTTAAATCCCATACTGTACATCTAAAGCCTACAATGGCCTGTGCTCTGCAGCAAAACATCTATTCAATTGGATTTCTCCTTGCCAAAGATAGAATTCAAGAAAGTTTGAACAAAAATTCTGCACTTCATTTGGTCTGCAAAAAGTATTTTCTACGTTGTGCTACATGTACATGTATGCACAAAGATTGGTGTAATGTATTTGGAATCAGATGCACTTAATGCATAACTTGCAACTTTGTTGATCTGTTACTTAGGCTGTGTCTGAAACGGGCTTCTAGAGCTATGAAGACCTAGACAATATAGCTCTAGCCGTATCAATTTTTTTAATCTGTTCATTTGTCTATCAGGTCTTGACCCACAAGATAACCATTCCACCAGCACCTCTGACGTACCGGTGACTGGTGCTGCCATAACGGATCCTTATCACTATCTGACACAACAGCACTTCACCTCAGAGATCTTCAAGATTGAGATCCAAAACCTCCCAAGACATTTTGGATTGGCGGTGAGTTTGCTCCTTAAACATTCAACCCTCGATTATGATAAACAAACAGCAACTGAATTAAAGGGCCGTGGAATGAATTTGAAAATGAAACATGAAAATAATCATATATGAAAGTAATGGTAAACAGCTCCACACTTGGTATCTTTTTGAAGCGCACTTTTTGCAATGCCTGTGCACTTGCACAATTGTTTCTAATGTAGCCGTGATGTCGATTTAGGTATTTTACTCTTAAAATCTTTGGAATTTTCTTTGTAATTTTTGAACCTATAATTTATACATGCAGAGATATCAGTTTGTGCATATATTAAAGTATGTCATTGACTACATGTACCTGCTAAATAATGAACAAATCAGTGACATCAACCGCAACCAAAGCACTTTGTAACTTTTTGTCCTCTAACAGCAGTGACACTGAAGTTCCATCTCATGACATCTCTGTATTGCTCAGGAATATGCAACTTGGCACTGTCATAACAATATTTAAAACCTGAAACATCCTCAGACGTAAATTACGGAGGTGCATTTCCTGAAATATAAACCACAAAATCTATTTCAAAAGCACTTAAAAAGCATATTTACAGTGGAAAATGCCAGGGCCATATGTTAATAGTGGCAATACATGTATATATTCATACAGAAAAGAAAGAAGAAACTTGCTCATATAAACATACAACCATGTACACAAAACCTCATTCAAGTAACAATTACAATAATTTCTGAACCACTTGCACATACATTGATAGTTGGTTGCGATCTACTCTGGGCCTGCACATTACTGATGTCATGATTTGTACATGTATTGGCAATCTCAAAAGGAATTTTCATTTTCAATGCAGCATATTATACTGTTCATGTTTCTTGACATTCCAATGAAGAAGATGTATGAAAAAGAGAAGCCTTCAAACCACTCTACAGTTTGAACACTACACTGCAAGTTCAAGGCACACTGACTGTGCATACTGCCCAATTTATGTGGATGGTTTCCCCTCATCAGTTACCAGAGAACATTGTTCTTGACAACTTTTAAAGGATGGAATCCCTTCTGGTTCTGGATGTGCATACTGCTGCCCTCGTGCTGATGGCTCAGTGCCAGTCAGCCCAGGACATTGTTCCTGAGTACTTGCAAGTGACTGCTGGCTCTCTGCTGGTTCTCGATGTACACACTGTTCCCCTTGCATGGATAGCTTGCAGTCAGTCAGACTAGAGCATTGTTCCTGATGAGAACTTGCAAGCGCTGGGGTCCCTGCTGGTTCTGCATGTACCTCAACATGCACTTGAACATGCTGCTGACTGTGCATGGATGCCTTGCTGCTGCTTTTCCTGGAACATCGTTCTTGACAGCTGTCCAGTGACTGCTGACTTGCTGTGTGTTGTGCATGCCCTTGGCTTGGTGGCTTGCTGTTGCTTGGCCTGGCAGCATTGTGCTCTTGGTCATTTTCTGCCTGTGGAATCACATGAAGCTCAATCTGCTTCTCTGGCTGCGATGGTCGGCTTGGATTCCGTCTTGAGCAGCAACGACAGCACAGTATGAGGAATGAGAAAGCCTTGACTACAGCTTCACGAAAGTCAGTGTTTGTGGCACTGTAGACCATGGAATTAATTGAGGTATTGATCAGTTGCAAAATTTCAATGCATGTAATCAGAATAAGTATTGTCTCTCCAAGTTCCAGATAGGCAACAATCTGAGCAGTTGAAGTATACTTTGATGCAAGTGTATGTATTACCATAATTGCAGCTGCAGTGTACAGTGAATTCAGAATGAAGAAAACAGCAGTGTTGATGATAACCATGCAGAGTACCTTGCCTGCTTGCTTGGGACGGTTCGGAAACAGGGCTGATTGCTTGCACACTTTCAGCACTACATAGATGTACAAAGCAAGAGTTGCTATCAAAGAGGCAATGTTGATAATGGAAAGAATCCCAAAGTAGACTTTAGTGAAGACAGCATCAGTTAATGGTAAGAAAATCAGAATCACACCAACAATAATTGTTGGCACCCAGAGTCCTGCTGATATCTTTGCTGCCCGAGATTTAGAGGCCTTTTCTTTGAACGTTATAGGATGGCGCACTGCAGAGAATCTCTCAGCTGCTATGGTAACCACAAAGAAATTAGAGGTAGCAAAGAAAGTGTATAGGACACTTGTTATTGCCTTGTTGACCAATAAGCTGGACTCTATAGGTGGAAACACTGCAAATATGAAGTGGGTCATAAGGTAGAGGGAGTCAGCCACAGCCAGATTGGATAAGTAGATGTTGATGATTGTACGCATGGACTTCACTCGAATGACTGTGAAGAGAAAGACAAAGTTTAAGCAGAGGCCAATTGGTGCAATGATTTCAGCACTTAACCATGTCATTTGATTAGCTCTTTCTTCACTCATGTAAAAGTTCTCGAGGTGCTTTTCAACTTCAGTGTTCCACCCAGTTGGTGGAGTGGAGGTGTTTTGGTAGCCATCACCCATAGTTCATGCACAATGTAGCATTGAGCTCCGTGAGCTACATTTTATTCAGATGCAGCAAAGAATGTTCTTCTCTATTTCAAGATCACTCCAGATTTATACTCACAGGGATTGTATGACCTTGAGCAAAGTGGAATTGAAACAGAAAGTTTCTTGTTCTTTTTTCTCTTTTCCCCCAACATTTCTGTCAGATTTTAATGCATGTGACTATCTTGTGGTTTCAGTTCCTGTAACCAAAGCAAATGCATGTAAGTCAGTTTCACTACTTGCACTGACATGAAATCTGAGAATTAAATTTGTTTCAGTTTTAATTATTTGCTCCAGATTAAACATGCATATTGTGTACATGTAATTGTTTTTTTTAATGCAAGTCATCCCTTCACAAGGCATAAATGCCACTCAATGTAAGGGCTACCGTACAAGAAGAAAAGACAGAAAAAAAGAGGATGATAGAAAATGAAGACAATTTTAGTGTGTGAGAGATGCATGTTCACATTGTGTTTATACAGGGTGAGTTAAAAAGAAAGTAACCCGCATTCAAGATGTATTTTTCTTAACAAGCAATTAAATTAGATACACCGAAGAAGTATGTCTTAAAAGAGCATGTTCTTCCACTCATCTGAAAAAAAAACAATCACTAACATTGATCCATGCCATCCAAAGTTACATGTATGCATGTTTTACTAAAATTGAAAAGAACCCATTTGTGTAGCTGTCCAAGGAATGTGATAATATTACAAGCTAAATGAGCTAAGTGAGAATTACAGATTACACACAAGTATTCAAATACAAGTGAGAGTTTAATGATTGAAATCAAGACAATTTTCACTATCAGGTTGTGTGTTTTGAATATGAGAAACAAGTCAACTCTCTCTTTCTTTGAAATATGGATGGTAATTTTTGTATCTTTTCCTTTGCAAGTTCTGGTTCATTCACGGAGGTGGGAAAACGATGGATGTTTCATTGTCCTCAATGGGTACATGTATTATCAGTTCGCAGCACGGTAATTGATAAGTGGTGGACAGCCAAGTTTTGTGATCATTTTATAGAAATAGACATAAATTGGGAATAGAGTATGCAATTTAAGTGAAATTTTCACAGTTAATAGTCAATAAGATGTACTTTATCCGTGTTTTTTTTTAACATAGAACAAGCCAAATATTTTAAACATTTTTTTTTAAATTAGGTCACTTTCTTTTTGACTCATCCTGTAGTTGGTTCAACTGGTTACGTGGGAATATACTTGATGAATACCTCCTGAAATGTTTTTGGGGATAATGACAGTATATGGATGTGGTTGGACGGAGGAGCAGGTAGTTGGTAGTTGGTTTCAATTTGGTCATGTTACTGACGATGGAAAGTAACATTCACTCAAAACATCTTTAAGCACTAATTTTACTTTGTACAAAGGTGTATAGATGTAGACAACAGCAAAAAAGAGGAGATTTTCTTTTCTTTCAATCCATGCTGTCTTTTTTCCCCAAAATGAATTGTGTTCTTCCCTTGGATGTTGATTTATTCACCCATACAACAATACTGTACTTCCCTTCTGTTTGATATTCAATTTGATCTGATAAGGAATGAAGTCAAATCGATAGTTTTTATTCACAAATCACAACTTGATCTCTGTTCATCTGTTGCTTTTTTTTCTTTCCTGGGCGAATGTTGATTGTCATCTGATAAGAGGGTTATTGTTTTTTTCACTTTCTGGGGTTGTTGTCATTTGCAATCAGTCTCTGCCTTGCCTGACAATCAAGTTGATGTTGTCATATTCTCAGTTTTGTTGATGGAACATCTTTGCAAGACGATTTGCAAGGGCTAACTACTTGGTCCTTACTACGTGGTGACATGAACTAGTAAAGGTTTGCGGTACCACCATGTAGAAGTCTCTTTTGGGAAGATGTGTGGCTCTGAAAAGAACCGGTTGGTTCTTTTCAGAACCACACATCTTCCCAAAAGAGACTCTACATGCCTACATGGTGTTACTGCAAACTGCAAACCTTCACGAGAACACTGTCTTCTACAAATGTGACAATTGGGAAGGGGAAAGTGTGCTTGTTTATTTGTTATGGGGGGGGGGAATGTAATCCCCAACCCCTTTTCTTCGCCTGACATCCCCCCCCCCCCCCCCCCGCACCTGATACTATGTAAATGTTTCAATAATTGCATTGTTTATGTTTCAGTGATAGATATAAAGTGTTTGAGGACCTACAGTACATGGATCTGTTTGGGCCTACAACGACTCCCATTCACTGAGAGGATTCGGGATTACCCATCGAGAACTCGAAAAGATAGGAGAGACCAAGGCCAGTTTCTTTGGTAAAATTATCCAGGCAGGTAAGACAAACATCTGTGACGACTCATTTGCATTGGTCCACATCTCAATTCTATGTGAATGCTTGTGAAATTTGAAAATGTGAATC